CTTCTGAATGGCCCCCCTGCCCCGTCTCCAAATCCTCCACCTTTATACACCTCCATCACCCTGCATCCACCCATCCTGCCCCGTCACTGGACTGGCAGAGCCTTGCCGCCCCTCTCCCAGTACCCGGGCTACTTATAGAGGGATTACACCGGACTTAAAGTATTACACCATTAATCGGCTAATGGGGTTCACTGTAAGGAGCCATGACACCAGTCGCAGTGGCCTGCAGTGCCTGCATCATAGATTGCTGTAATAACTGCGTCGTCCGTTCCTTGGGGAATTACATCGCATTTAAATGAGACTATAATTTTTGGTTGAAGTTTAATTATGTCCTACATCTGACTCTTAAATGTGTCTCTCAGGAGAAGATATCAAGCTGCACTCAGTGTGAGCTACAGTGTGATCTTCTGTTATACCTTTATTATGATTTTTATGCAGCTTATTTTTGGGTGACTCACTCAGCGTAAGTGCCTGGCCCAAATTACTGCAGGGCACTGTAAGCCTTCAGGGCACCGAGCCACGTCTCTAACCGCCACGCCACCCGCTGTCAGTACAGCGTCATCGCCAGCTTCTGCGGCCCCCTGTCCCCCCTGTGCCGGGTTACAGTGACGGCTGTACAGCTCGAGTCAATCTAAGCAGTGACACAGTAATTGCGGTGTGTCACCTACTTGTTAGTGCATCAGATGGGTGAATGTGCAGTGGTGGTGGTGGGGGGGGGGGGGGGTTTGGCTTTGTCCTGCTGCCAATCGGAGTGAAGCAACACCATGTGTTCAAACAGGTGCATACAAACAGGAACAGGAGCTTCGGAGGGTGTCGGTGCGGGGATGGGGCAGTCGGGGCGTCCACTCGTGTATTCTGTGTACGTCTTATCCTTTAGTTAGGGACTGTTGTGGATGTATGCCTGTGTATGTAGGGCTGTGTGTAAGTGCATGTGTGTGTGTGTGTGTGTGTGTGTGTGTGTGTGTGTGTGTAAGTGTGAGCGGGTATACCTATCCTTATGGGGACATAATGTCCCCATAACGTGATAAATATCCACAGTTTCCTGGTCCCCATAAGGGAAAACTCTATTTTATAAAAATCGGTGACTGCTATGAAAAAACTAAAAATGCAAAAACTCTTGTATTTTGTTAGGTTACTTATGGTTATGGTTAGGGCTGGGTAGGGGTTAAGGTTGTCATAGTTAGCGTTAGCATTTTCCCCATTGAAATGAATGAGCGGTCCCCATAAGGATATGTTTACCCTACATGTGCGTGTGTGTGTGTGTAAGTGCGTGTGTGTGGGTGTGTGTGTGTGTGTGTATGTGTGCCCGTGTGTGTGTGCAAGTGCGTATGTGTGTAAGTGCATATCTGTGTGTGTGTGTGTGTGTATGTGTGCCCGTGTGTGTGTGTAAGTGCGTGTGTGTGGGTGTGTGTGTGTGTGTGTATGTGTGCCCGTGTGTGTGTGTAAGTGCCCGTGTGTGTGTGTGTAAGTGCGTATGTGTGTAAGTGCATATCTGTGTGTGTGTGTGTGTGTGTATGTGTGTGTATAAACACACAAGAAACCGCTCATCTTTTAAACAGAAAGCTGGCAGCTACCCCAGTCTAAACAGGACAACAGTAACCGGATGAGTCCACAGCACCAAGGTGAAGATAAGCTTCAAGATAAGCTAAGATCAGCAGATAACAGAATTAACCACAATGGTATCTGGAAGTTTGCTGGGCCACGGGCTCCTGCTGTAGCACCCTAGAGCCACGGAAGTTAACTAGGTCAGCTGAATATAAACGATGGCTTCAGATAAAATGTTTCAGCTAAGCTAAGAGATGTATTGTACATTTAGTAAATAAAAGCTTGAAGCAAAAGCAATTTGACTGAACTGGCTGACAAGCAATGAATCTACATTTAGGTGTAGCACTACTGCCCCCTGGTGGTATTCATGACCCATAACGAGTGCTGATTTCTCGTATAAATGCTCCACAACTTGAATTGGCATGTCTTTCAGCTGTAGGAGGAAATCAGAGCACATAGATGAAACCCACGCAGTGCGGGGTAAACATGCGAATACTAAAATCCAACGCCCACAGCTTTGAATAAGCAGTCGGAAGATGGATGAATGGACTGATGAGTGAAAGGATGAATAATGTCGGAAACACCCTGGATGGGATGCCAGTCCATCACAGGGCACGTACACACATGCAAACATGCTCTTTAGGCAATTTAAGCAGCAATTAGCCAAACTTTATATCTACATGGACTGCAGGAGGAACTCCGTGTCAGGAGGTATGCCATGCAACACAGAGAGAACTCCACACATGGGGGGGGGGGGGAGTTAGGGGCTATCCACTGGGCTGTTGTACTTCTCCAAGTCCTCGGGGGGCCCCCAACAGTGCACGTTTTGCTCCCTCCCAGCTCTTGCTCCAAAAATGTGGACAGTCTAGGGCCCCCCCAAGAAGTTTGGAAACACTGATGTATAAACCGTTTGCCATAAATATGTGCCTTTGTAAAATGTACCATTAAAGACATGATTCTAACCTCACTGTTCATGCACTGACTATGACGACACGGACAACTGCAGCACTTAACCTGAAACAGTCAAAAACTACAGACCTGCATGCACCCACACGTCAGCTGGCATCGATGACTTAGGGGGTCTGTAGTTTTTGCCAAATCTTTTTAAAAGTTTCATTACAGATCAAGTAATTCTCTTTCACTCATTTTAATTAATAGCTACTAAATATTAAAATAAGTTTCTTCCACTGCTATGGATTCATCAGGGGTGCAAGGGGCCACAGTTAAAGGAAAAAGTCAAGATTCAAAGTGAGATTAAAAGCTTTTCTGCACCCACAGTAAGAAACCTGTGGGCTAATCAAGCTTTGCAGTCATCACGAGCATTAAATTAGCGACAGGCTGCAAATGTCGCCCGACATCCTGCAAGGTTTAGGGGGAGTTCTGTGAAAAGTCGTGGGAAGCGAGGCTGTAATGTTCACGCCGGCGCCGGAGGGCAACTTGAAAGCTGATGGAAATAAGAGCAGCCTGTGTGTGAAGCGCAGCAGCAGCTGGCGGCGGGAGGAAGCGGGGGACACAGTAGGGCGCTTTCCTACATAACAGACCCATTTACGGTGACCGATGCTACTGACTGACCGAGATCGCACGCACGAAGCGGAGGGTCGCTCCTCACACACGCCCACCCAAGCTGGCCTCGGGACTCACCTCCACGAACAGGAAACAGGGCAGGATGGAGGTGCTGATCTTCACACCCGGCTTCGGCTCCGCCATCCTCTCCTCCTTCACCAAGCTTTGGAAACACGAGGAAGCGGCGGTCAGCGAACGGGAGGCAAACTCCGTAACCGGCCGCCGGCGAAGATTTCCGAGAGGCAGCCGGCAGATCCCGATTTAACCCGAATCTCCGCGGTTACCTGCGTCTCGCCGAGACGGGGCGGGCCGCGGTTTGGACGCTGCATGCCGCCGCCCGGCCCGTCTCTGTCCGGGAAAGAGGGAGAGCGCGCAAGGAGGATGAATAGGACATGAGGCTGAGCCCTGCATGTGCGATTGAAGCGCGCACTGGGCTGCGTTTATAAGCCCAGCTGGCGAGCCGCTTGGCAGGAACATGCTGTAACTGTCATTGCGGAGGAGAAGGCGCCAGCGGAAGCCCGAGCGGACCCCGCCGGAGGGGGGGGGGAAGGGAGGGGGGGCGGGCGGCACGCGTGTGGGACGAGGTCGCGGATGTTGGATTTCCAAGATGTCTGAAAAACCCTCTTTCACTCCAGGGCTTTCATTTATTTCAGTAGTGGCTGCACCCCGTAATGTCTGATTGGTGATTAGACAAGGGGTGAAACCTAAGTGTTCAATCAAAATGACTATCAATATATAAATTAAGATGACGAAGTCTGGGGTTGCTCTCCATCCTTCACATGGCATCCTTAGGTGCCTCCTGCAAGGCATTGTGGGTCGTGCTTCAATGCGATTATTGAGTATCATTAAAGAAAAGCAGCAGCAATTGGGGAAGACAGGAGTGCAGCAGAGCCATCGGGAAACTGTCAAGCTGACACTGGCAAGGCGTTGGACGAACACTGTGTCGTCCACGAACGTCTCCTCTCGTAAGGAAGATGATAATTGACCAAAGAATGTGGGGAAAGCGGCAGAGAACACAGAGGAAATAAAAACCATGAGTGGGGAGAGAGAAAGAGAGAGAAAGGGAGACCATAGTTGAAACCACTGAAAAGTGCACAGCAACAACGCCACAGAGAGTGATGTCATACAGCAAGAGGGCAAATGGCTCAAGATCCCCCTCGATCTCTGCACTGTAGCATGAAATGAGAAGCCAGCAGCCATATGGGCCGCTTTATTCTTAGCTGGCACACGGGGGTCTTCTTTACTGCTTCCTCGGGGTTTGTGTCCACCCATTTCCCTGACTCCCCCGTCCACTCTGCCCCTTTGTCCTGCACGTCCTGCTGACGCCGGCCCTGCTAGTGCGTTAGCTTTCACACTGCTAACTGGGCCAGATCATGCTCACACCCCCCCCCCTCCCCCCAGCAAGCGTACACCGGCGCGGTCCACCCCCACGCCTGACACCATCGTGCTGTGGGGAGGGGGGCAGGGAAGTGGGACAGTGATGGGAGAGGTGATTGCTGGGTAATTAGTCAAGCTCTTCAGGGAATCCAACCGCCAACGACTAGGGTGTGGAGGCAGGGGGTGTTTGCCTTGACTGCAGCTCCAGTCCAGCCCCTCAGATCTCCATCAACAGAGCGTCCTGATCTTTGCAGATACAGGGCAGTCCTTAAAAACACATGCTACAGATGATGCCCCAGTATCAGCATCAGCTCCATCCACCCTACACTCTTACCGTACGCGCCTCAGCTCCCCGCTCCGCAGTGGTTCTGCTGGACTCCTATGCCGAAGCCATGTCTGGCTGAGGTGAAGGGAAACAGCTGTTAATTCACACACAGGGTTTCCCGCTCCAGGTGCTCAGGGTTTCTTGCCCTAGGTGCTCAGGGTCTCCCGCTCCAGATGTTCAGGGTCTCCCGCTCCAGGTGCTCAGGGTCTCCCGCTCCAGGTGCTCAGGGTCTCCCGCTCCAGGTGCTCAGGGTCTCCTGCCCTAGGTGCTCAGGGTCTCCCACCCCTGGTATAGTGTCTCCTTTCCTCTCTGCTGCTTCCTGTCCGCTCAGTCCAAAGAAACCACACTCTACCCTGTCTTACGAGCTGGCAGCTAGGCTGAATCTCTATGGCTGCGAAGTAGCTAAAAACGAAAGCAATTCTTGTTTGCCCCTCCCCTCTCTTGTTGAGCCGGACGATGGACCTTCACCCAACTGCCTGCTTCAAACATCTAACAACAGCCTAATTAAGTGAGTTGCGTGAATCGCTGTCTCTACTGCCTCACAGTACAGCAGCATAGGAGAGGGGAGAGAGAGAGAGAGCCAGTGAGTGAGCAAGCGGGCGAGAGAGCCTGCACGAGTGTCAGAGAGGCAAGAACGATAGTGGTGCATTTGTATTCCAAGCAGGTGCCCCCTCACAGCCAATAGCAGAAGAGAGACATGAAAAAAATTTAAATGGGCGTGTTTCAGAGGATGGAGTAGAAACTGTTATTGATCCAGGAGAGCAAAAACCTTTAATGACAATAAGAACTGAGTTTACAATTAGAGGCAGATTCAGTGTTGCCATGATTTGCAAATTTTTTTAAAAAAAATTGTTAAATGCTGAACTATTAAAACTTATGGAAACCAGTAACAGACAGTGGCTGTTGATACAGGGAAGGAAGGTGTGTCTATGCATGTGTGTATGTGTGTGTTCATATGTGTGTGTTTATGCATGTGTGTGAATATCTATGTTTGTGTATGTGTGCTCTGTGTGTGTGTATGCATATGTGTGTGTGTGTATGCTTGTGTATGTGTGCTCTGTGTGTGTGTGTATGCGTGTATGTGTGTGTGTGTATGCGTGTATGTGTACTGTGTGTGTGTATGCGTGTATGTGTACTGTGTGTGTGTATGTGTGTATGTGTACTGTGTGTGTGTTTATGCGTGTATGTGTGTTGATGGCCTGTTGATTATACACTACTGTTTTGGCAGCCATCTTTTGACACTCGGTTATAGGCTACAAACGCCCTCTCTGTAATTTAAATTCCCCATTAAACTCTGAAAAAACACACACTGGTGCATCTTGTATCCTTAAGGACAGCTCAGCGACTTTGCCATATCGAGAATCATCTGACCACACAGAAGGCTATACAGACAGTTTAGAGAAAACAAAACGACACAGCATGCTAATTTGTCCAATGAAAGCTTAGTATCCTCCTCAGGCATCAGTCCAGCACTGTCCCCTGGTAGAGCAGACAATATCAAAGCCTGAGGAATTACAGTGTTTGGGGCAAGTAGCTCTATAGTCCTGGATATGCACATGCTTGAGCTGCAGTATTATATGGGGAATTGGATTCCTGTTCCCTGCTCAACCAGACAGGGCTGGTTTGTTGAGTCTTGACTGACTGATACAGACACAGGCGGGTGGGGAGGGCTATGATGCTTACATCGGCCATCGCCATGGTAACCCAGTATCCACGCTACGCGCAGATAAACAGAGAGAGGAAAAATGGCACCTCGTACCATGACACATACAGGGGCAGGAGGATACATTCAAATGCAACAGCTTACAGGGAAATGAGCCAGAACACGGTGAAGATGTTGCGACAGGGAAAAAAATAAGACACAGACACTACAGTACACTACTAAAGAGACACACACACAACCACACACACATAAACACAAACACACACACACCAGTGTACAGCCAACACAGATGACTTGGCAGTATGAGAAGCAGTAAGACTGATATAAAGAAATAATCAGTTTTAGTTTTAATCCACAAAGATCTGACTGCTGCCCTTCTAGTCACGGGCTGCAGCCCCATTCATTCCTGAATCGATTCCCGTTTCCAGCTTGTGTTTATTGAGCTGTAAGACAATGGGTGTCTCGTCAGTAACCCCCGCGACTGACGGAGAGCGGAGGAGCCCCCCCCACCCCCCCGTTCTCCTGCCCACACCAGAGCGGCAGTTATCGCGGGAAAAAAAGAGCAAAGCAGCAGACTCTGAACTCCCTGTCAGGGCTCGGCGCAGGCAGATCTGCCGACAAGCTGGGGGGGTGGGGGGGGGACGCCCACACTCTTCAGGTCCAAGAACATGAAGGCAACTCAGCAGGGCTGTTTGATACGCTGATGGTCTGGGATGGCAGATTCCGTGAGAAGCCGCTTCTTACCAGGGCGATAGAGATTGTGCATCCACTGACAAAGACATCCCTCCACTCCAGGAACACCAACCAGTCACTGATAAGCAGTAACATCCATGCTGGCCCTATTATGCCTTCAAGGCAACCAATATCCCACCGCCACAACCACTGTCAGGAGCTATGAGAGGCAAATATCACCCAAAATGCACCCTGCTCCACAGCTCAGTGAGGCTCTAGACTGAGATTTAGAGCAGAGCTGGGCCCCTTCCTAAGACAGAATATGAACGTTCTCCGCATTCCTCTGCAAAGGTGGCACTTGTCTGGACTGCAGCATTAGCATATTTATTAAATAGAATATTTTTAATGTAGCAGTTTATTTTGGGCACATTATTCACCTACTAAGACCTCAACCAGCCAATCCATGAATCATGGCCCCAACTCCTTAATTGCTATCCTAGACATGTATGTGCTTATAAGATGCAATATTCCTTTGGTGCATGTTCAAAGAGGAAAAAGGCAAGCCCCAGTAACAGCCTACGCTCTTTATAATGGAAGACCCCCCCCCCCCCGCCCCACGCTTTGGGATGCAGAGCCTGAGAGGTTATGAAAAGTGGGGCCCCAGCCTCTCCGCTGAGTATTTTTAGTATGAAGGAGCTCATCAGAAACAAGGTCTCTCATCAGCGGGAAGCTAGCGGCTGTTAGAGCAGGCAGGCCTCGCGTCCCAGGTGAGCTCGGTTGGCGGCTGTTAGAGCAGGAAGGCCTCGCATCCCAGGTGAGCTCGGTTGGCGGCTGTTAGAGCGGGCAGGCCTCGCGTCCCAGGTGAGCTCGGTTGGCGGCTGTTAGAGCGGGCAGGCCTCCCGTCCCAGGTGAGCTCGGTTGGCGGCTGTTAGAGCGGGCAGGCCTCGCGTCCCAGGTGCGCTCGGTGAGGCATGTTTCAGGGTTCATCTTCATCTTCAGTGGATGAAGGCTGAAATAGTGAAACGGCCCTGAATGAGTTCACCAGTTATATGGGTCAATGACAACAGTATTATTAGCCTGGGCTGTCTGTGAGCAACCAGGATAAACAAGATTACTGCTAATAACTGCCTGTAATAGTGAGCTCAACCTTCAATGCATTGCTTATTAAATGACATTTCTTGAAAGATACTGCTTTATTTTTAGAGTATTTACCTGCAAAACACTTCTAGATTTCCTTGAAAGTTCACTGCATTCGAGTTCTGATTTGAAGGCACCAGGGCTTAGAAATGTCTCCCCGCCTGGTTGTGTTTGAAATATCTTTAGATCCTTTCGGAAACTTCCTGTTAAAACCTTAACAAACACGAACATTACTGCACACACTACTGTGCACGGGCTATTGCACGTGCCAGTGGACATACTAGTGACAGTAGCAGGCATATAGCCATGTAGTAAAATTTGAACACGCCTAAAAAAAAAACTTTTTTGGACAGCCCTTGAAATTCATTTCTAGCTACAGGCCTGCACATTAGTGCACAAATTAGTGCACGCATCAGTGCGCACATCAGTGTGCACATCACTTTCTGAAGAAACACGGGACACCACCCTCCCCCAAGGGCCATGATGGTAATATTTGTCGAGCGCGGTGTAAGGGGGGGGGGGGGGGGGGTTTTGGGGGGGGGGGGGGGGGGGGGGGGGGGGGGGGTGTCATGGGGGGAGGGTGCAGGTAACCAGCAGGGATAAATTTGCGAAATATGGGATGTACTGGTTCAAAACAGGACATTTTATTCTTCAATATGGGACGATCCCATTAAAAACAGTGCAGATGGCAACTCTGAAGGTCAGAGATCTGTTTTCTGACCCTGTCCTTTATTTAAAAGACAGCTGTCATTTTGTACAAAATGTTTCCATCTTCCACCTGATTCCCACTCTCCTAGCCGCTGCTCTCCGCTCCACACAGAGGTTTGAGGCGTCTTTTAAAAAGCAATCTTAGCAATCCTGTACAAATGCAGCTAGAAACAACAAGAACAGGATAAACACACATAGAAAAGGGGAGAAGTGCCTTCAAAAGGCTAAATTATGCTGCCATGGTGGAGAAAATCTCTCTGAGGCTTTGCACACACACACACACACACACACCTACCATTAGCTCCTCATAGCTAAGTTGGACTGGGAGAGTGAGATGGAGAGAGTTACCCCACCTGGGGAGGTATCACTTATGCCTGGGAAAGACAGATGAAACCTGATAGAAGCAGCATTTCTGATATGCTCAGTAAGAGAAAAGGGATTTGTTTTGTAAGAACACCCCCCGGATGTTTATTTTTAACACACGCACTTAGTGTGGGGGCCATCTGCCTTTTATTTCAGAGATTCAGGCAGGCTAAGTGCAGCTTCTGTGTGTAGCAGAGACGCTATTCAAGCCCAGTAAGGCAACACCCGGGGCCTCAGAGACATACAAATACACAGAACTCTACAAACTCAAGCAATGTGAGGCTCGGGGCATTCTGGGAGTTGTAGTTACTTTGATGGGGGCAGGGCTTTGGTCCTGCATTGATTGGTAGCCATTTGTAGGCAGACATGCAGTAGCAGGTTTTCTTATTCAGTCCCCCAGAAGCAACAATGACTTCACATGATCACAGTCAAATACAACAATACTACTACCACAATACTACCACTGCTAATACTACTACTGTTACTATTACTGCCACTACTACTGCCAAAACTACTATTACTATCACCAATACTATTACTATTTACCTAAGCATGATTTTGGACTGTGAGGGCAAACCAAAAGGACTTCCAAAAGGTAGTCTGGCCTAAACGCAAGTAAATGAAGATAAGTTTCATTTAAGCTGAGGCATCTCAAATCCAGCAAGTTGTCTGGCCGAGCAAGAAATCCGGCTCCGCGATGCAGGACCCTGGCCTGTCAGCTTGTCTGATGCTCCTGCCTTCAATCTAATCGAATTCAAATATCTATCCCTGTTACACCCCCCTCAGTCTTCAAAGTCCCCTCGCCAAAACGGTAAGTGGAGTATTCAGGTGTTTGACTGTGCAGTCAGTCTTCAGGTTAAGAACTTCCAAGTTACAGACAACTCGTACTTACAAATGGACGGCCATAAAGTTTGCTATATAACAACTTGGGTCAAATATAATGGTTTGTAATAATGGATGCATGCCCTACTTTGCAACTCTCGTGAAAACATTGAATGGCTTGAGGTTCAATACAAGGGTGAGTTTCCCGAAGCCTCCTTAACGCTACTTCGTTCGTAAGTTCTATCTTTTAATGCAGAATTTACGAACGGCGTAGCATGAAGGAGGTTTTGGGAAACCCGCCCCAGTACCGTGGGGGGACACAGTCCCTTCTCTCTCCATTAAGCCCCGTAATTCCACCGTTCTGATGGTTTGTGTTTCATAGCTTCATCTTAGCTTGAGGGAGTCTGCTGACTGTCAGCGTGTGCCAAGGCAGATCAATGTGATGTGTCAGCTAACTTTACAGTGTCTAGTGGCAGTTTACCACTCCTCCCACTGGGGTTACCAAGAGCAGAATGACGGAAGAACACGTATTCTCAACGAATTGGGGAGGAATATTCATAAAAACATTTTTAAATATATCTTTCGGGTGTATAATAGTCATGTTACACGTAGGGGGCGCTGAAGGTGCTTC